TTGATAAAATGCTATGCCCAAGATTACCATCCGAGTGCCGGCGGGGAAGTGGTTCATATAGCCTCGGCTATCACTTCCTTATGTCCGGTCGTGATGGTCAAGCGGATTAAGGCGTCCCTGTACATACCAGTTGTGGGAGTATGGGTTCGAGTCACTTCTGGGGTGTGAGTTTTCAGTTGTATATAGTCCTGGGGACCATTCAGGCTTGTTTGCATATATATATATATATATATATATATATATATATATATATATATATATATATATAAAAGTACAGTATATTATAAGTATAGTATATATATTTTTTCGGCACATTTGTTTCCTTATTTTGAATCTGTGACCTCTTGTTCTTAAAGTTGCTGGTTCTAGGAATACCTCTTTGTCAATTTGGTCGAGTCCCGATATTATTTTGTAAGATCATATCACCTTTTCTATCATCTACCTTTGGCATATTTAACCCTTCTAGTAACTCTTGTTTTTTCCAGTTCCAGATGCTGCCATTTAGTAGTATGTCTTTGCACCTTTTCCAGTTTGTTGATATGTTTCTCGAGATACAACTGCTGCATATTCCAATTTCGAATTTTGGTATTACAAAAGTCGTGAGCATTTTCTTTCGTATTTCACTATGTATTTAAAAGCGATTCTGAAGTTGGGAAGTGCAGCACAGAGTCCTTGCACAATGTCCTTTGTGTGGTCCTCAGGTGAAAGTTGACTTTCCACAACCACCCTTGGCTCTCCTTCGTACGGGTTCCTTCAAGCCATTCCACATAATTTGTAGGAGGCCTATTTCCTCCAATTCCACATTACATAATGTGCATGTATTCGTGATATTCCATCTGCCCAGTGTTGCTCCATACACCTTGTCTATGGTGGCTTGAACGGCATGACAGTCGTGCAGGTCTCTGACCTTCCCTGGCAGCTTGAAATCATCAGCAAACATGTTCATATAATTCTGTATTCCCACTACTTGGTCATTTATATAGACAATGAACATTGCTGGTGCTAGAACCCCCTGTGGTACTCCATTGATTCATTGTGTACTCCATTGATACATTGTGGTACTCCATTGATTCATTGTGGTACTCCAGTTTGATACATTACCTCTGATTACTGCCCATATTTGTTTCAATTATTTGTATGCATGTCAGAAGCCTTCCCATCACCTCTGTGCTGTTGTTTGCTATTTTAGTATTGACAGTACACTACTAGCTTCTTAATCTCGTTGTCTTTTGTCTACTGGAAGCGAAATATGCATACAATGCTAGGATTTATTATTTTATCTTAATAAATAAGATGGTTTGCCATTTTATTCAACGAGAGAGTTGCTAGGCTAGTGGGTTCCTGTATCTCTCGTCATTTTAGTATTTAAATATTTTCATTTTAACTTATATTAATCATTAATTCCCTACTTTAGCTCAATGAGGATTAAATCTTTAGCTCCCCCGCCTAGCGTTAAGCTTTTCTCAGAGGTTTAATTTCTTCGCAATTCAATCCCAAATTACATTAAATCTTTTCCTCCGTTTTTTGTTGGAATCTGGTGGGGAAGTATCACACCATATTCGTAAATATGGTGTGATATATTTTTGCTCAAACCTCCGGAAAAACAAAAAACATATTTGGGGACTGTTCATTTAGTATTTCACACATTTCATATTCATTCTCGGTGAATCTGTTCCCCATTTTCAACTTTTGAATTCTAGCCTTTCCTGATTGGTTCAATTATCTGCTAACATAAAGAATTTCGGCATTTTCTTAGAAAAATCAATAGATCTTGACTACTCGTCCAAAATGATTACTGGATTATTTGTTGACTGCGTCCGGGTTGTCCTGAGTTGACTGCGTCCTTCGGTTTGACGGAGAGAAATTGGCGTCACTAAACAGGATGACGAGTTTGGCTCTCCAAGTAATACTGGGAATTCAGTGTTCGATTTCCTATAACCTTCTTAAATTCTTGGGCGTTTGGGTCTGCTGGCTTCCCGAGAGTGACTGTTGCTCTCGGGGGTAATGGCGGGTGACTGGTGGCACAGTTGATTGGAATGTTCAGGGCTTGAATTAGTGGTGGTTACTGCTTAGTTAGTGGTGGTGGTTATTGTTTAGTTAGTGGGGCTGGTTACTGCTTAGTTAGTGGTGGTGGTTATTGTTTAGTTAGTGGGGCTGGTTACTGCTTAGTTAGTGGTGGTGGTTATTGTTTAGTTAGTGGGGCTGGTTACTGCTTAGTTAGTGGTGGTGGTTTTTGTTTGGTTGTATTTTGTAGTGGTTATTGTTAGTGGTGGTTATTGGTGGTGGTTATGGCCCTGCTAATGGTATATTACAGAAAATATGAATACAAATAATGGACCCATTATAAATTCAAAGAATTAGATCATCTTACTTATATTGTGAAGAAGCAAGTGTGAAATGCAGTACATAGCACGTTGTTACATGTTGTTGTTATAGATTCAGCTACTCGGGACAAGTTCCAAGTAGCACGGGCTATGGTGAGCCCGTAGTGGACTTGCCTGGCACAGGAGCGGGGAAAAGTACCACGGGCTATGGTGAGCCTGGCACAGGAGCGGGGCTGTGGAGCACATAGCATGTGTAGGGACAAATGTAAACATTGCCACGGGTGAGGGAGAGTTGGTCGCGTCTGCCTCGATTCAAAATGATGGTGGTTAGTGTTGGCGGGGTGATGAATGCTTCCTGTTGAAGCATCATCGTCATCATCATCATGATGACGCATCATTGTCGCGTCATTGTGGTGGCTGGTGGAGACATTTGCGGAATTTCGTGTCATCAGGATGAGGGAGTTGGTGGTATTGTTGTTGTTGTTAAAGATTCGCTACCTGGAACAAAAGGTTTTTTTAAGTAGCACGGGCTATGGTGAGCCCGTGTCGTTGGTGGTAATGGCGCGCGGCGTGCGTGGG